TCGATTGAGCGATCGAGGAAAGATGTAAGGGATCGTCCCATTTGCTGCCACCATCGCTGGAATATTTTTTTTTATAGTATGGTATGTTTGCATTACGCAGGGCAGGGATATGTTGAAGTTATTTAGATTCCCGACGGGAGATGTATTTTCCTTGGTGTTTCGTGTTTGTCACCGTTGATCCAAAGGGAATTCCGAGGATGAGCAACAGAGTTGGAGAGCAAAAACAGGGACATATTAGCACTCTGTATTGAGCGAAAATCCCGTACGTGCAGTGAAGACAGAAAAGTGTATTCATACAAAACAGCTCCTCCAGCTCTGAGTGATTGCAACTGGAAGGGAGACGAGATGAAAATAAGTTCCCTGTACACATGGTTGGAGCGCTTGCTACATTTCCCATGTGATCCTGATTGCATTTCTCCCTTCCGTCTCACGAACAACATGCCGTTATTACACGGCAAGAATTCCGCTTCCTTGGCCTTAATATATAACGCTGGTTCATTCGTGCAGAATAACCTTCTTAGGATTTATCTCCCATCTTCGAGACGAACCGGAGGAAATGGGGGAAGAGTACTGCATTTACCAAGGCCAGAGCAGAGGAAAGTATTTTTGCAGAGGACGGCCTGCACAGAGGATCCTAGGATTTCTCCCTCCTCTCCCTCATCCTCAAATTCACGCTTCATGCACGCGAAAGCAAAGGAAGAAGCAGTGCCAGCTGCTATCTCAGTCGATCGGAGGATCAATGCCAGTTGGAGCTTGTAACGACGATGAGGATCCTGCCAAGTTTTCAACCGTCCGTTCCACTTAATTTCACTTCACCTTAGCCCCGCCAAGATCAGCTATATTTAAAAGTCATGGACGCCTATATTCCCGAGAAAGAAGAGAACCAAATCCCCTCGTTCGTATCCGTCTCAAAGGCCTTTTGAGAGAAGATGGGAAAAGAATGGGTCCTTCGGGAACCCTTTCCCCCAGAAGGACTCCGTCTTATGTGGTCCCTAAGGGTTATATAGAACACTTCAGGTATATCAGGGATGGAAGCTTTGAGGGCCTATTCCGTTGGACGATAAAGGGATATACGGTCCATTCCAGGGAGAGTGGCTCGATCCCGATTGGACTAATTTCTGCTGCAGGCTCTTCGCTGATTCAATAAGGGAGCGAGACCTTCCCTTCTCAATTTTTCCTTCGTTCTTTTTGAGAAGAGACGCGGAAATAATGACGAAGGAAGAGGGCGAGAAGCAGGAGATTGAAGATTGAAGGGAGTATGGAAGAAGAGGGACGGACGACAGAGTATCTCTTGATTAATTCTTTTCTCCAGTCTTCTCCTTTGTGTGGAAGAGCAGGGAGAATGGGGGGAAAGAGAGATATTCGGTCCGTTTCTCATAGGAAGGAAGGAAGGAAGGGGTTCGAGGATGATTAAAATGGCGGGCCCATAATTCACGAGAGAATGCCAGCCATTCGTCATCCTTGACTCCGTTCCTATTACGTATTGAGAGAGGAGAAGCCCCTGGGTTTTAGAAATTTCCCTCCAAGATATGTGGTAGTGTCAATGGGATTAGCATTGGAAATGAGAGCAGAAGGCGTGCATGACACGAGAGCTCTCTTTTGCATCATGACGAACGTGACTTGAGTGTCTTTCTGCCCCCTCCCCTCCCCCCTCCCCCTCTCTCTCTCTCTCTCTCTCTCTCTCTCGCTTTTCTTGTCTCCACTGTCCTGTGTTAAAAAGATCGGGGGGAAATCCGAAGAACTGAAGAGAGGGAGAAAGAAAAAAAAAAGCAAGATCGATGAGTCCAGATTTAGGGGAAACTAACGAGGGCAGCATTGAAATGAAACAGAAGCGTCAATCAAGAGGCATTAGAGATAAAGGCAGGGCGAGAGGGAAGGGCTAGGAGAGGGGAAAAACTTACCATGCTGAGCCCGTCCTTCTATCCTCCCTGGGGAGCGGGTTCCGCACTTATCCCCATGCGACACATTCCGTGATCTGGGTCTCTAAATCGACATCCCAGTCCGCCTAATTTCATTACTCGGTCCATCTACGCTCCTGGTTGGAATCGAATGCGCCAGATACGGATTAGAAGAAGCTAGAAAAAGCAGGAAAAATGTCTTTCCTGGTGGACGGACAGTAGGAGATGACATGTAGGCCTATAAGAGTAGGGAGACAAATGAAGGGAAGGCTCTAGAGTTTCCGGTCCAAGTTTTCTTTCAGGCTGGGTGGGCTGGAGGCGGCGCGGCGCCATGCCAATCGCTTCCCTTCCACTGGGGATCCCTGCTGGGTCTGGCTCACTCTCAGTATTCTACGTCGTTCGCGCTTTCGCTTGTGATGTCTCGTAAGCCCGCGCTTTCTCCTGTCTGCTCTTGGACATTCGCGCTTCCTGTCGTGCTCTCTGAGACGGTCGCGCTTTCTCATATCCCCTTGTATGCCTCTCCTCCTTCCTCACCCTTCCATATTAATTGCGTTCTCCTATGTTATGCGTCACATTTTCTGCGCCTGAATAAACCGCATAAAACGGAGATAAAAAATTTATGATTAATGATCTCGATCAATTGTGCAAGCCTATTTTACACGATAGTGATCTTGGTCCATTCAAACTTCGGAGCCTTTGATCCTTATGTGTATTGATATCGTCTTCTGAAAAAGTTTCCATTATCCCCCTCACCGCTTAATAGCCCACGCTAGCGCAACATCTTGAGAACTTTTCATGTTTTATGGAACGGGAATCCATCGAGATGTAGTATGTATGTATTCCTAGAATGCTTCAGCAGCTGCCGTTCTCACGCTTGATTGAACCTCCATATGGGGAATGATGGCTCGGGATTCATTCAAGCGGGTGTTGCCTGCCCTGAGGGAGGTAGAATTTCAGATTCAGATTGGTTGGGGAAAAAAGTGACAAAGAGGTCAATCTTTCAGAGGAGCGTGGATGACTCATGTTTGCTTGCTAGTCTCTTGGCTGCAACGAGGGATGGTGTGTTTGCGGTGACAGGCCGAGGTCAATAATGAACGTTTACAAACCGCTCCCTTCAGCCATTGGCTTCTTCTTCCATGCATATTTACCGTTTCCTCCTCCGCTTTCTTTTTTTTTCCAGGAGCCCAGCCGAAGGACCTGCATTGATTTGTCCCCTTCGCACATCCTCTAGGAAGGTAAACGCCTGACAGTATTCATCCTTATATGCATGCAAATAAGCCCAAGGGCCGAGGGGAGGGTGTGAGGGACATGTCCTTTGAACAACATGAGTGATTGAGAAGGGGAGACTGAAGAAGTATCGATCCTCGGATATAAACTCTCCGATCCAGACAGGCCTCAGAATAATGAAACTGCCACTCCAGCTTTTTTTTTCTTTCTCTTCTTAAGATCAAGCAGGGCTTACCCTTCTAAGTTCCCTGGCTAATTTTTCTTATGGATTTGTTTTCCGTGTTTTCTCATCATGCTAACAGGCAGCACAAGGATCTCTCTTGTGTAGCTTAGCAGTGCACCTGCTCGTAGAGTGATATATAGAGCTATCCCGACCCCCTTTCGGGAGAGGCTTAAGGAAAATAGGGTTGCTCGGGCATAAGAGATGGAGAAAGAGGTATATGGGCTGGGCTTGGGCTCCTATCTTTCTATTTCCTCCTCCTCTTCTCTTTCCCCCTCATGCATCTCTCACTCTGGGAACCCCGATGGTAATAGTGTGAGGGAATTTGGTGAGATGACTCAGACATCGATTGGTCCGTCATTAGAGCCCTCCTCGGTCTCGCCTCTCTCCTCTCTACGTCTGCTTCGTTTCGGTATATTATTGCGGCAGATAAGGGGACTGGGATTTGGATAGATTGGTTTCCCTGCTGCGCTAACGTTCAAAGAGATGAGTAGTCTAGAGCGGAAATCAGATGAAAGAGGAAATGAGGCTATGTCCCGTTGCCTAGGCGACCCCTAACCACGTTTTCTATACTTTTTTGCGGTCACTTTCTTCCTCCCGGTCTTACCTTTGTCTCACAACGCTTTTCCTAGCGTTTGTTCCGTGATGAAACCTTCGTTGTACTCTCTACGACCATTGAAAGTAAGATGATATATCGTCTACGGATGCCCCCTTCATTCACTTTCTTTCATATCTCTGTCTCCTTCTGTCTCCCTTTCTGGTTCTCTTTTCTGTCTTGTCTTTCTCTGTCTTTCCTTCTGACCCTCTCTGTCTTCCTTTTTTATGCCTTTATTTCTTTCGGCCCTTCCTTCCTTCCTTCCTTCCTTTTTCTTTTCTTTCTCGCGTTCTTTCTTCCCCTCTTTCTTTCTTTAAGGGTCTTTTCTTGCACGCGTCGTCATGGTAACCAATGGGCGCTTTTTTCCCCCGCCTTCATCTCGATTATAGGGGAAGTGTTTGCATACAGAAGTGATCTCCAGTTAGACATCAATAAATCATCGTGGAATATTGGAAAGCTAAGAAAATATTAACTGCATCTCAATAATATGAAGTTAAAATGTAACCACTTCAGTGTCGGTATGGAAAAATTCCTAACCGGTGGTGGAAAAGGTGAAATGTAAAAATGTATAGAAAGGTTGAACTGCCTATAAAACCGAGATTAAAGTTTGGTAGATGAAAATGTATATTATTAGTCATAAATTGCAATTTATAACTATTAATAAATGAGCGTACTAAATGAAAAAATGAATGCCTGTACATTCTGGCATTCCGGCGTTGAATAATGTTGAGGGAGAGAGGAAAGGAGATTCATATTCATGGGCTGTCCTTTCCAGTCCAATATCCCGTCCAATATTGGCAAAACCCACACGTGGCTCGAAGAGGGGGAGAAGGAAGGAGAGGAGAATTGAGGTTCCTGTGGGTTGTTTCCCCTTCTCTCCCTCTTTGTAATGAGACGGCGATAAGGATTAAGTAGAGAATGATGAAAGGAAACATGAGGACATTTCGAGGGGGAGAGAGAGAAGACACTCCACTCCTCCTCCATTGTCTTCATCAGCGCCTCTAATGGCTCTGAGTTGATTTTCCCGGAGGCAAATTAGGCGCTCTCATAATGCCTAATGATGGAAGTCAGGATTTTCCCCTCTGCCTATGCAGTGATGGCGTCGATGGTGATCGGAGAGAAGCTGAGGACCTGGGTGTCCCGGATGCGGAAGAGACCTGGACCTTCCACTTCCTCCTCAAACCCATCTTCCAAAGACTCCCATCAAGACCGAGATCACGATCATGATAGTGGCTCATGTTTGGTCCGGAAACATCATGGGAAACCTCGGGTTTTCCGGAGTTGTATATCGATGTCACAGAGCCAGAGTTTCACGGAACCTCGCCTGTCTTCGGAGGAGAACTTGCCTGGGAAACTCGGGAGCCAGCCTGGGTATTCCAGCCTGAGTTCCCCCGAAAGCGCATACGGGAGTGGAAATTCCGAAGACAGCCTAACGTGTAAGGGGCACCAGACGAACGACAGCCTTCAACACGACGCTTATCTCCCGACCTTGATGAAGACGGCGACAGTGTGCAGCCTGGAGAGGCCTCGAATCAAAACGAATCCCTGGGTGTCCTTTGCTGAAAATCGACGGGGACGGAAGCCCCCCATGGCGTCGAGTTTCAGATTAACCCCCGCCGTGATCTTGAGTGAGACCTCGTCGGACTCGGACAGTTCCGTCCAGGTCCACTACGGCTCGTCCAATGTACCCAGGTCGCCGTCGGCCAAAGGAAACCCAGAAACTTGCCAATGTTGCGATTGCCTGGCAGGGCTGAGTGATTTCTCGACGGACGTGGAGACGGATTCGGATTTCGAGGACACCGTCTTAACGGAATCAGAATCCGGGTTCGGCCTTCCAACGGGGAATCGACGAGACATCTCCACCTCTTGTTCCAGCTTCCTCTTCCAGGGTGAATCGACTGAATGTTCCTGTGATAGCCAGCAACTTACACCCCTCCCTGAAGGAGTTTACCCGACGACGTCGACGCCGAAGAATGTCTCGGACCAGGACCAGAATCTCAATTACGACGAACTTTTGGAGAGCATGGACCGACTTCTCCGTCAGCTGAGTGACGAAGTGAACGACGTCGAAGGCTCATCATCATCATCGTGGGATCGCGAATCGAAGCCGACGTTGAGACCCAGGTCGGTGGAGCAGGCGAAACTGACGGATCCGACGTACAGAGCCTTGAGGAGCATCAGCGACCCCGGTCGATATGACCTAGACCAGATCAGCCCGAAGGACCAGGCCAAGGATGAATATTATACTCACAAGTACAATTCCGAAAGGCTAGTGAAGTGCAGGGTAGAAGAGGGGGGAGGAGGAGGGAGTCCAGTGAAAGGGAATAGGACTGGTCTGGAGGAGAAACTGCGCAAGTTGAAGCAAGAACGTCTCCTTCTTGAGGCCAAAATCCGGGAAGCTCGGGACGAGGAACGGAAACGATGGAATCGAGCGAGCCTCGGCCTCTTCTCTCATCAATGAATCAATTCTCGCATGAAATCGTAACTTATTCAACTACCGAGCCTCCGCTTCTATATATTATGATCCCCAATTATGTGTTTCATAGAATAAAACTCGGTCACGCCCTTCCCATGCCTCATTGATCTTCTTGGAGACATCGGATACTGTTGCGAATCCTTTCAGGAGAGAGGAACCCGGAGGCCGAAGGAACGTTTGGAGGAGACATTGATTCGGCGGCGAAGAAAGGGGGAGACGGATATTCGTCTTTCATTCATGTCAGGCGATGAGCCAGAAAATTCAATTCTTTCTCCTTCCCGCCCTCCTTTCCTCTCTATTTCCTCCATTTCTTTCTCTGGCTCTATTCTAAATGGACTGCATTCATTGCTCCTTACATACTATACTCACAAGAGGGAGAATAACGAACACGGCGACATCTTTAGGGGAAGCAGACAAGCTAATAATTCTCGGGAGCTTTCAAAGATTGCAGATGAGTTGGTTCAGTGCGTGGGTGGAAATGATGCCCAATTGGAAAGGAGATGAAACATCACTGCTGAATATTTATTGTACGCCTCCTTTTCCTTGTTTCCGTACTGATGTATGGTATAAAAATGTCCATTCTCGCAGTTTGTCGCATTGCTCGGGAAATTTTCTTATTTGATTCTTCTCTCTTTTAAGGGACTTTTAATTACCCCATTCAGCTAAGCGTAATTCTTTTAACAGGCTGTTACACTAAAAGGCCATTTTATATCATTAGCTAACTCATTCAACCGTCTTTTGGCTTGAATTTAATTGCTTTTTTACGCCTAACGACTCCTATACCTAAATGACAGAGAATCTCTCTTTAGCTCTTGCCTTTGTATTGCGACCATTTAAGGGCTTTGGGCCTTTATGTGCTCATGTCCAAAAAAAAAAGAACATTATTCGTTATCAAGGCCCACAAAAGATTTTTAACATCGGTTTTATTAGAAAAGAAACCATACATATCCCTGGGATTGTTGACAGAAGCCATTATCCTTACAAATATCCCTCTTACCATGAGCCTCATTATTCATTCCAGACGTAATCGATAAAACTTCAGTTACAACATGACGAAAGAGCAACAGCAGTAATACTTATTATGGGATCAAGAGAATAGCGTTGGAAGCAAACCTCGCTCCGCGTACTTGATGAGACGGGGCCCCAAGAGAGAAGTTCCTTCGCATCCTCGACTCAAACGAATAAGTATTATGGTTTCGCTCACGAAGTTAATTTTTAAGTTTAATTCATAATCAGTTTTTTTTTTTAAAACCTTATTTCATCTTCGTTTCGTATTCAATAATAGCCATTTCCCATAATTGCTGGAGGACCAGGAGCATGGCAGCACTATTCGTTTCGGCCCATGATTCCCTGGTGTCGCTCTTTCATTTGTTCGCTGAGGCATTGATGATTATGCAGAGCAGAAAAATGGTACTTGATAATTAGAGGAATCGTTAAAAGCAAATTAGTATAGGTTTGCTTTTGTAATACAGAATTGTGGAGCAGTTCTTCACTATAAAAGGCTTCATATCCAGGGTCGGACTGGCTGTCTAGGCCAACCTCCCCGGAAAATTGCCTGCAACAGGAACAAGGCGAATTTTATAATAACTGCACCATAGCTATTAATCCTTTTTATAGCCTTACACGATTTGGCAGTGCTCATTGAATCAATATCAGTATATGGTAATTAGTTGCAATTAATGTTCACTATAATTCCACTCATACTTCATTTTGTCAGGTCTAGGGGTATCCCCGGGAAATTTTCCAGTATCCCGGTGGGCCAGTCCTACCCTTTTCATATCCTCAAACTCTGACATAAAGTTCCGAGTAAGTTCATTCGGAAAATTGAACGTGCCACATGGGCTGAGAATTTTTTTTTTTCCCTAGGAGATTATACAAGGAAACCTGTGGATTCGGCTAGCTTGATATTACGATCACACTACTTGCAGCCAAAAGTGATCCTTGATCGTCGTCTTCATTGGCTCAATTGGCCATTGGCCTGTTTTATCCTGTTTCACCCGGCCACATGTCTAACTCGACCGGCGGCGGTGGACTTGCAGATCCGTTGTGCTGGTCGCTCTCGAATCCGCCCAGAGCAAAGGAAGAAGAACGAATCGAGAGAACGTGGGCTTCGTCTCCTCTTTCTTTTATTGCTCTGCATAGCAGCATGAATTCTGAGAATTTTTCTTTCGATCTTCCTCTCGTCAACATCTCGCTCCTCTTCCGCGAATCGGTCTGAAGCTTGGCCATACGAGTCACATCTCTGCAGTCTCAATAGTGAAATCGTGATCGTTTGAACTTGCTGCTTTCCATGCAAAGTCCAGATGAGTCACATCAAGGAATTGATTTTAAAATAAACCCCCCCAAAATAATGGTTTCTGGAGGTCAAATTTGAAACTGACAGATGCTTGTGGGTTGGCGTTCTTTGCTAAATTCCCTACAAATAAAAAGTGAGACTTTCATCATATAAAGGAGTTTGGCATACATATTGGGATTTTCGCTCCTAAACGAAATGCGATAAAATGCATGTCGTTGCAAAGCTTTCGCCCAGATGAATCTGAATATATGTTATTTTGACCTGAAAAGTCTGAACCCTGATGTTTCACCAACGAGCTCATTTGTGAAATACAAGCTCTCAAATTCCTCTAAATTAGTTTCATGGCAAATTAAGAAACGCTGATGCTCGCCCTAATCTTCACAGGTTGGTGACTGTCAGCATTAAAGAATCTAGATCTTTGAAAAATCGTGTTTTTTAATGTTCCTTTGTGTATGTGCCGACCGATCACTTTTAAAATCCGAAATAGGCTCTTCAATTCCGATTTAGCGCCGATGTCAGTTCGTGAATACGAACAGAAACAGAATTTGGAAAGATGAAACTGCGCTGGTAATATCAGGGGAACAGACGATTTCCGGTGACCCTGCCCCCTCAACCCTTGCATCGAAGTACTCAACTTGATTAGCTGCACTCGACGATATCGCCCTCACAGAGAGGTCTTGTGACCCATGCCCCTACGGCGTGATCCCCTTGGCCTATCCATCATTGACATCATTCTACTTTTGTTATCGAGCTGAGTTTTAATGATACCCTACTTGATCGGGTCGAGCGATATTTTAAGGTTCGATTATGCCCTTGGGATGGTGTCCTTCTAGCACCAGTTTTTACCTTATTTACTTTACTTTGACCTCCAAAGTTATGAAACTTGGCGTCTGACAGGAGTCCTTTCGCCATCAATAATTTATTGGAGGTGAGTAAGAGCTAACCAATCTTTGGTCATGTAATCACCCCCCCCCCCTTCCCCCCCCCAACGTGTGCTCCCCCCTGTGCAGCTAAGTGGCTTTCTTCCGTTTTTTCTCACTCCCAAACCTCACGCTCAATGTCACGCATCAACTCCAAAATTGGGTACACTTTCTTTTCCAAGGTCTCGGGGTTCGCAACGTTTCATCCATAAACGGCGGTGCTTTCGAGAATGTGAAAGTACGTGAAAGTGCTCGGCTGGAGATATGCTAAATTCTCGAACTCCATACTCTCTAGCAAAACCTGCAAACGAAGTACCAATGGACTCGCCTCGCAATGGGTGTGAGCTTTCTAATGGTCACAAGTACTTAGTTCTAGCATTGGTGACACCGAAAAGTACTCCCCATTGAAATTTCATCTGGATTCCCTTTAGACTGAACTGATTTCGACAAGTGAAGTTCCGATGGACTTCTTTCGCTGTGAATGTATGCGATCAAGACGAACAAGGCATAGAGTCCTTTCAAAACAAATAATATTATTCTCTGCCCATCTCATTGCGAGCTCCTGAGCATTGGAGCTTCGAAGTGTCGTATTTTATTCTCTTTGATTCCTTGGAAAATCCCATGAGACGTTGATCAGAGTCATCGGGATCTCGACTGATGGACTCGAGATTCCCAAGACTCTTTCATCCGAACTTGGCCCCTCTCGCCACTCTTAATACTGATTTCCCCCTCCCCTCCTGATATCTAAGTGCTTCACCTGCTCTTGTAGATCTGTCATTATGATCTGCTTGGATTAGTTTTTCACCTTTCCATTGTTTTCTTGGTTAATATACTGAGTTATCACAAGGATTTCACTTGTGACTTTTTCCCCCTTTCCTTTGTATATTTTTATTTTTATTCTCTAGAGGGCCTCTTTTCTTGAACGGAAAAAGACCCTGTAAAGTCTCGCCTTGTCAATCATAAATCACTCTGTCTGCCTTACTCTTCGGTTTTCTGTAAAGAATTTGACCAGATCATTGTGAAAATCGGTATGCAGATAGACATGACAGGCTGAGTTCGTTTTTGGTAAATTCTTGCCAAAAAAACCCAGATATTTGGAATTCGCTCAAAGCAGAGAAAGGTAGGAAAACTGTCTACCTCTCTGGAGCTTGACCTCAGGGCTAATGCGCAGTACTTTGTTAGGGGTGTCACGCCTTCAACCATAGCTGCTATTTCCCTCCCAGCCTTCATATCTGACATCCATTGCTCGCAGAGAGGCCGAACACAGCCTTTCTCTTCTCAGACTTCTCACCCTCGACATACTGATCACATCCTCCACCTGTTCCAAACAGTCCTTTACAGGAGGCATTCATTCGTACAATTATTAACAGGGGTCCCGTTGCTGGATTGGACTTGCCCTGTTTGCTTACTCTGCCACTGCCCCTGATCTCAGGAGACACAGGTCACAAATTCGCAAATTGAGGAACTCAGCTAAGAGTTTGTTTTTGATTCGATACGTCACATCTCGTCCCTTCTCTCGTACTCTTTCTCCCACATAATTACGTAGGGTACATATTGATTCCCATAAGCACATGACAGCAAAGAAAAACCAAGCAGAAGCAAGAATGCACAGTCAAAGACTTTCATAACTAGGGGCTTGTTTCTCCGTTCATTCTCATTTACTCGTAACGTAAGTTAACCGAAATCTAAATTTACATCTAAAAGTGTCTAAATCTAAATATATGTCCAAATCATACTTCCAAGTCTGCTGTCTCTCTTGTTTCGATTTTTTCCCACTTCGGTTTAGATTAATATAGACGAGAATTGGATCCAAATGATTCGAACTGGGAGCCATGCCTTTACAAACAACTCATGGCCCTCGGTGACCGATGGGAGTCCTTGCACGTATTGGCACGATTATTATAAGGAAACTTAACAATGAGTCGATTGTCTTTTAAGGTATCTCAAAATTTGCGTACCTTGACGTGTGATATTATCTTTTAGTGCCTGGCATGGAGACTCATATTCCTCCAAGCGAAAGGCACGCCTGCAGAATTTGCTGCTTGAGGACATCACCAATACAGGCGTGCGCAATAGGTGACTTCTACTTCTCAAGGTTGAACTTGACCGCAGATCTGTACTTTTTTTCGTGATTGGTCCTTTTATGCGAGAATTTTAAAACTCAGCCAAAATGTACCCGCAGCTTCCAGAGTTCGTGTGCTGACCTTGTGATATCACGCACTTGGAACATTTCCTCGTACGTCAATAATGGCGGCAACAGAGTGACTGGCGGTCGAGAAAGCAAGGATGACCCAGGATTGCAGAGACGGAAGCGGAGGATGCGATACCAGATTGGTCATAGCTTGGGTTACCACACCTCCAGTTTTTCCCGGACATGTCACCCTTTCTCGCCTTCAAGTTTACGTCCGACTGTAAGGCGTCCTCTTCTGGCTGTCCGAAATATGGCAACACTAGTCATAGGAAAAGCTCATGCACCAATCGGATGATTTGCCTTTGCCGGCGTCATTCCGTAACTCTAAAAAAATCTCACTTTAGCTACACTATAAAGAAAAGGTTAAAAGCAGTTTCTGAAAATCGATTCTGCTATATCTCTGTCAATTTAATCAAAATTGAACTGGTGGATTGTATTGGCAAAGTATTTCGTATGCCATTAGGGACCATCTAAATGATAGGCCATCCCAATAAATGTCCTATAAGAACTCTGTTTGGTACATATTTATATATTTAAGATTTTACTCAGACGCATGAGATACAGTCTAGGGAAAAGGGCGATGCCATGCTCACGTCATCCATAGTGTTTGCTACAAAATGAGGGTACAATTTTCGACCGTCCCAATTTTGCGACGCTCGTAGATAATGGGTTAAAACCATCACCGGAAGGCTCTTTCTCTCCGAGGACAATACTTTTCAGAGCTCTTTTCACGAAATAAATCAATCCTTGCTTTTTCCCCTTCAGCTCTTTCTTCGTGTCTTCTCAGTCTTTATTGTGGAGCTGATTAGACATTTCTGTGGCATATCATCTGAGGCATATTATCATCTTTGGTTTGGATCAGGTTTTTCTTCAACCATCGTATAGTGCATAGTGAGGACTTTTCCATGGTAAATTAATGGACTTGCTCGGAGATTATCTTAAGTCAGGTCTGATCCGTTATGAGAAACCAACTTTTGTGTTGGAACGGGAAAAATGAAAAGCCCTTGAGAGGGGGTAAAATCCTTCTTTTTAATCCTTTCAACACCGAAGGTAATGAAAAGATTGTCATGAAACATCGAGTTCAGTCGGAAACAGGACAGGAGCAGACAGGAAAGGACATTTTTCTCAGCAATCAGACCTACGATCCACAGCGTGACAGGCAGGACCAAAAAAATCACCAAGACACGCAATGGAACAAAAGAAGATTTTTTCCCTTTCCTGTTCGTCAAAATTTTCTTTTGTACCGATCGTTTCTCGGTGATTGAGCCCCCTCCTGCCTGCAAGACTGGGGATGGTAGGAGTAGAAAAAAAACAAGATCTGGGTGCATCGCATCGCATATCGCATTCAAGCACACATAAGTTTTTGGAAAGGGAAAGAGAAAAAGACGAGAGAGAGAAGAAGATAGAGGAAAAAAAGAAACTTCTCTGCTCTGCTTTTCTCACAGACATTCAGACGAGACGAGACACAGAGACAAGAGAAAAAAGAGAAAGAGCGAAGAGGAAGAAGGACGAGGAGGAGGAAGAGGAAGAGGAAGAAGGAGGAAGAGGAGACGTTCTTGATCATCACCTAGAAGAACGACATTTTGGTTATAGTCTTTCATCATCACTTCCTAAGGTCTTTTTTTTGGTTTCCACGTACACATTTCCCCTTTGAAGGGGTTGCTGTTGGCATTGTGCACCGTCAAAGTCCATTTTGGCGCGGAAACTTCTTTCCGTTTGTGTCCAGACAGACGACATTGTGCGCCGAGAAAGAAAAACCAATGCTCAGAGGTCCCTTCGAATTCCCTTAGATCGACACACAAGAAGAGAAAGTGGAGGAGAGGATGAATGAGTGCTGACTAAGCTCGACGTTCTTCTGGAAAAATGTCCCAGCATAGTATATGCTGAACTTGCACAATTCAACGAATTTTACCGCATTCGACAATGGCTTGGGAAACCGGGGCAAAAAAAAAGAACGGAAATGAACGAAACGACCCTAAGTTTAACAGAACACCTGGAGAGTAAAGAAGAAATTAACACGATATTATGAAGAAGGGAATCATAAGAAAAGTCGTACCCGGAGAGACGAGGACGAGCTTCACAATGATTCATCCGATCCCACCAAGTACTGATTTTTTAATATAAAAAAAGAGGGAGAGGAAAAAAAAAACATGGGGAAATCTGCCTTTCTGGAAATCTGCCGACACACGTATTGCTCTCAACAAACTGTTGTGGAATGCTCTGATTTCTCTTCTCGTAATCTCTGAGGAATTAGGAAAATAATAACGCTCTACTAAGCAACTTTTCTCTTACGTGCTCTTTCTCTCCTCACAACCGAGTTTAAGTCTCGTTCAAAAAGCTCGACTGTCATGAAAGCGGAAGGAGGGAGGTGGGGGGGAGAAAGATGGATCTGGCTTTTTTTTTCTTTTCTTTTTCCTCTGTCTTCTTTTTGCATAGCGGGAGATTTGAAGATCACACGACTGGGGAAGAAGTGGGGAATGTCAACATTTCAACACTGCCAGTTCTCTTCACCGCTGCCGGGGGATTCCGCCGGTTTGGAAAGGGGAGCTCCGCCTGCACTACCCGTCCCACTTCCGCTCCCACCTGGGCGCCCCCCGCCGGGGATCATGGGTTCCGTGTTCCGCCGGCGCACTCGCTTGATCTTCTTCAACATCGTTGCCTGCAGGTTGTTGTTGTGTTGGTGGGGGTGGACGGGGGAGGCCGGAAAGGAGGGGGGAAAGAAAAAAATGGGGGGTAGAGAAAGAAAAGGAAATTAGTGAATTTCACTCGTCCCTCGCTCGCAACAGTCTCTCAACACACTCTAAAAGAGGGACATTTTCTGATGAAATACAAGCCAGAGAATCGTCTTCATCTCCAAGATTCATCCATCCAATCCATCCATCAGAATAAAATCCAATTCGGCAGCAGCAGCATCGTCCTCAGCATGCAAAATGACGGACATGCCCGTGGAATGTGAACAAGGAAGGGGGTGGGTCATCAGAGGTCAGAGGTCAGAGGTCAAGAAGGGATGGTCATCCCGAGGAATCGTCTGCTTGGCTGAATGCTGGCTCTGTGTTCCGCCGTCTCATTTTGCTTTTCTTCAGCATTGTTGCCTACAAAGTCAATCATTTCCTCTCAATTTCTTCCCTCTTTCCTTTGCCCCATGTCCCCGACAATCTGAACATCCGGCATGGAATCCTTGCTTACGCTTATTTTCATGCTTCAACGCTAATGGGGGGAGGGGAGAAATTTCACTGCCATTAAGAAAGCGGTATCGAACGCGGGGGTATGTAGAAGAAGAGGAAGAAGAAGGAGAAGACGACGATGAAGAGAAGGGGTTTGGCAGCAAGGGAAAATAATTACCAAGAGGATGACCTGATGTCATGTAAAGTCTTAATGTCGGGGACATGAGAGGCAACAGGTTGAGCTGGTGGCCAGCAAAAGAGAGATAGAGTGAGTCCAAAAAGGATCTCTTGCAGGGTCAGGAAAGGGAAGGGAATGCTGGAGAAGACTCTAGGAAACGGGTAGGAAGTGGACAACAAAAATATTAGCAACACAAAATACCCGCACTACGACTACTGGCTTCCTGTTTCCCTTTGGGATCAAGGGGCCTCCGAAGTTACCATCCTCAAGTCTGCTCTGAAGGTGAGCATTATGCAGTCCTTTCACCTCCCCAATCAGCCTGATTTCGGTTAACAACGAATCGTTTGTTTTCTCCCTCTTTTCAAGCAAGGATTTCATGCCAAGAGTTCTATGCATCTTTATCTAAGGATCAAGCCACGCCTACGAAGGAGAAGAGAAAAAGAAAGGGACGTGAAAGGACTGCATAATGCTCACCTTCAGAGCAGACTTGAGGATGGTAACTTCGGAGGCCCCTTGAATCCACGGCTCCCCGTCCACCTGGATCGGCACTTCCGTGTTCAACCGGACTCGGATGTGACCGCCTTGGGCGATCCGGATGGCAGACCTTAAGCCGCTCTGGATCTGGCCCAGATGGACGACCCCGGTCACGCCAACCACTTCCAGCATCCCGTCCCAGTGGTTAGGCTTGCTGAAATGATCGTCCTTCTCTGGACCCCATGGGTTCGCCCCGCTCCCCCAACTGTGCGTGCATTGCGACTGTCAGCATTGCTCCTTTCCTGGGGGAGTTTCATCTTCTCATCGAAATATTACCTGAGAATGTTTAGAATGATGATCCCCTCGACGGGTGGGAGGTCGATCTTCTTGCCGTCGACCTCTAGGACGATCAACTTGTGGAGATCCTTACAGAGCTTCCCAGAGACCATCTTTCGCAGACCCATCTTCACATACACTCCCTTGTTATGGATCCTGGTGAGAGATACTGATAAGCATGAATCATCTGCAATTTCTCCTCCTTTTTTGCCTGAAGGGGAGGAGACAGACCTGCTGTTGAACTTGTTGGGGTTCTCCTCGCGAGCGTTATGAAAGTCCAGACACAGATCCGCATCAATCCCAATCCCAAAGTAATTGTTCATCACATAGATTTGGGTATTGTCTTCGTTGGTCGTCCCAACTTGAGCACAAGGAGGGAGGGTGCTAGGCGGGCGGTCGTCCTTCTCGTCCGTGTGAATGACGACCGTCCATCGGTCGAGGCGGATCTCCTCGGCGTCGATCACATCCCGGAGGAGTGTCAGGGGATCTTCCCCACCCGTGTACCCAGCCCCCCAGTGGAGGACCCGGGCAAGGTCATTCCCAGTCCCAAGGGGGACGATAGCACACGGTGGAGATGAACACTCAGAATCCTGGCCCACATTGTCCAAGCATTGGAGGACCCAGCCGATCGTTCCGTCTCCCCCACACACCAAGATCCGGTAGTCCTCGATCTTTCGGAACACGTACAACCTGAAGCAACAAGTGTGAGAATGAAAGAACACCTGCAGTAAGTGAGCAAAAGGACTAAATAAATTGCATTATCATGGAAAAACACATGAAGGTGAAAGCAAGGGGGAAGCTGGGGCAACGATGTTTGTTGTAGGTGATTAATGTTTTTCATTAGCTATTTCAGTTAGCAGGGCTCAAGTCTTCAGTTGGGTCAATCACCAGAGGATAGTAAAAAAAAATGGGATTGACGGAAGGAATGAAGGATTGAAGACCTGTAAAGTACAGATTTAATTAATTCAGTAGACATGGCCAATGAACTGCGTCGATGGAGTCCACCTAGTTGGTCAAACTAGGTGGACTTCATCGACGCAGTTCCTCGACGCCAAGAGTACTTCTGTATTATCGATGCTTAAGGGGAAGCTATCAACGAAGTGCTTCACTATGTCCATGATCGAAATACATCATTAGGGTAGTTCCACTCGAAATAGATTCTCGAGCTTCAACTGGGATTGAGAGTAGGCCTGAAACCCGCCCTGCAGTTTTCAGGTTCTGACGATTTTCCACTTCTTTTGATTCTGGGGCAATCCAACTGAAGAAATTCGTACTGCTACATGAGACAACTGAACAGAAATCACATACAATATCGAATTCATTTGTCTCCATATCGCCTCTGCTTTCATCCGAAATTGTTGGTCAGTCGAGGCAGAGAAACATACCCAGACAGGGGACCACCATTGTCGAGATCATAGACTTGGTAGGGATTGAGAAGCTTGCGGAAGCTGGCGATGAGCTGAAGCCCTTGACACCCCCCGCTTTTCACGTTCACGAACACCAACAACGGCTTCACTTTCGGGGGGATCATCGACGGCGTAATGTTCGGCAACAGCAACACTGGAACACCATAACGAAACTCCAGTTTCACCTCCTTCCAGAGGGATTTTCCAGGGAAATGAGAAGTCGAAAAGGATGGACAAACCCATGAGCGTCTTGTCTTCGACCATGACTTCCCGAAGCGTATAGAAGGCCCGAACGGCCTCGATGGGATCCGTATACGTGATGACCAGGGACCCATACTCGTAATAGATGGGACCGATGGTGACGAACTTGTTATCCTTCCCCAACATGTCGATGAGAATGGATTCGTACTGCCTCTGCGAGAGATTCATCGGAAGGTTTCCCACGAACAGTGCAATGCTGGGTCCGTGCGGGTCCTCCACCTTCTGCAAATAGAATCTCGTGAGCTCCATCTGGCGAATGGAATCTCGACTCAGGGCCTTGAGGCACTCCCACGGCTGCTCGTCCATCCCCATCACCCTCTCGGACACTGGAGAACGAATGAGAAGAGATCCAGAGCCCAGGTCGCTCCTGAGTGCAACCTATTCAACAGGAGTGCACTGACCTCCTTTATCCAGACAGACTTCCGTCATCTGGTAGTCCTTCGAGTCCTCGCCGAGAAGGCCGTATTTCTGCAGGGCAGTAATGATGAGTTCGGCCACGGTGGTCTCGTTCGTCACAGTGAGCACTCTGTAACTGGTGATCCCGTGCAGCCGGGATGGGTACACCTCGATCTCACCACAGTCATTGCCTTTATCTCTGTATAAACCAATACTGTTAAACAGACTGGACTGCCTTGTCATTACAAGTCGCCAGATTCCATCCAAAGATTCCCTCAAATAATTTTTTTATTTAGGTTTTTTATTATATTGCACCATCCCAAGGAAACTTCATTGCCTTCAGGGCGCGCCGACTCAAATTGCATTCAGATCTATGTGGGAAAATGTATCAATATCTATGGAAACGTGGGATAAGGCGGTATAAGACTTGCCTGAACCGAAGGAAGACGGCAGGGCGTTTCCCTTCGGCACGAATGAGATGATGCAGTGGATACTGTTCGGTGAGCTCTCCTTCCTCGGCCGTGTAAGCGTCGGCAATGTAAAAATGCTTCGGATCCCTCCGAATGTGGAATGCTTTGAGTGCAGAGGAAAGGAGCTGTTCCAACGTGACATTATGTGATACGGTCACAGATCGGAACATCCGTCGGCTCAAGCTCAAGTTCCCGTCGAAGACCTTTACCACCTCTGCTGTTAACGAAAAAAAAAAAAACAAAAGTTTATTCCCCCCTCCTGCTTCTTGGGCGACTCGTGTGACGTCAAGGCACATCCAGTGATCTAAACGCATCCCTCTCGACCTTATCTATCATATAAGCAGCCATCGACTTGCTATGCATGGACCGATCGGCGATCCCAAGGCACAACATGTTTACGTTGAAGGAAAAATTTCCTTCAAGAGGAGAGAGGGGAAGGCGGCCAGCCTTGAACCCGTTTAATTTATATTTTAATGCTTCTCCAAGTGAACCATATAATTGTTCATGAAAGACCGCCGACACTCGATCGGAATAATCTAAAGCACATCGGGGTCGTCCAAGTGGAAAGTAGGACACAGACCTTCGTCGCGTTCCTCCCGATCGCGGCGATCCTTGTCCTTCTGCTGTTGATATCCACCGGAGGCGTTGTCTTCGTCCCAAGCCCTCAGGTTCGTACTCGATGGTTCCTCTGGAATCAGCCCGCGATCTGCAGGGAGAAAACGAAGCGATGGGGGATCCGCGAAGGAGGAGGAGGGATCGGGAGAAAAGAGAGGTCATACGTGGTATGCCCTCCTTCCGACGACGTTGGACGCCGAAGATGGCATCCATGGGCACTTCCGTCCTTGGAATGGACACTGCATGCGGAGGCAGCATGATGGGCTCCAAGCTCCCAAAGTTGCATTCTGGAGGCACGTTCTTTTTGCACCCTGGGTGGCACTGCACACGAAGATCACAGGAGCTTAGTCAGAGCAGTGTCCTAAACTATTCCCAGAGGTATTTCCCATAGTGTTATACTTACCGTGATCCCACACCATTCGCACCGGAAGCCGGTCAGGCACTCGGCCGACCAGCAGGTCTTCTTGCAAATGACGCATTTGGAATTGGGCGGGAGGTTGCCTTCCCTCCAGTGATGCTTGTGGGCTGTCGTGTCTAGTTGCCGCTCCGGGATGTACGTCTCGCATTCCTTGCAGTCGGGGGTCGCGAAATCCTGGCACTCCGCGTGCACGGAATAGCCGCAGACTACAGGATCGCACAAGAAGAAAGTACTGTACTGATGGTACTGCAATTGCACTCGAGGCGATTAGAGGAGACACACGACTCACTTTCGCAGCGCACGGCCCAGGTATCATCGAGCCTCTTTCGACAAACATTGCAGAATTTTCTTTTATAATGACCTTGTTCTGACCAACAATGGGGGACAGGGTTCTGCAGAAAGAACGAGAACATGTTAGAATGTTAAATATCTCTTATCATTTTCTTTCCTTTTGCGTAAAAAATAGCACTCGCGCGAAACAGCATGGTAGGAGAACTCGATTTTTCCCCTGTTACACTGTACCCTCTCATCTAATTCTTCTCTCCCAAACTTTGCATTTTCATTGAAAGTTTAAATTACCCAAAAACAATTGAAGTTCTGGGAAGCGAGGAGGAGGAGGGGCGCTCTTTTCTGCTTTTCCCACCCCTTCACCTAAATCGAACACTCCGCTTAAATCTAAACCCTAAGTCAAACTCCAGCAGCAAGTCTGCTCGGCGCCCGGTCACGCGCTAAAGGACTGCATGCATCAAAGCAATTCCATCAGGAATGCCACTGACGTTCCCCTCACGGGACAATCAAGCGACTCCTGGAAGGTCGACTGACGTATGGAGCGCTGCGATTGAGCTCTCGGGGCGTGCTCCGTCTGCCATTTGTCAGCGACAGGAGAACGATGAATCTCGTCAAGTGTTGGCGGTGTGACACTCCCTCCCTATTTAAATCAATAAATTAAGAGCAAAGAGCAAAGAAATCTTCCCTTCGCGTGATGAGAATAGATCACATGAAAGAGCTACGCAATTTGAAAATTACACGGAGGGCGGGAAATGACTTGTTACGGAAGGAAATCACGGAGGTAGGAAATATTGTATGCATCGAATGGGTGAGTCGTCGCCTGAACGCCGATTTGAAGCAATGGCACCGGCAGCAAATATGAAAGTGAAGTGCGCATGACGTCTGACATATCTCTTCGATTTTCTTCAGCTTTCATTTTAGCAAACCTCCTTTCCTTGAAAAAGAAATGTGACAGCAAATGCAAGTTCCTGAATGTTCATCTGTGGGGTGGGCGTGTGCGTGCATGAGTGCGTGTGCGTGTGCATGCGCGTCCCTCAGCCGTTCAGGGCGAACGTTAGCGGGAATGCCACTGCAGTAAACGTCACCTAGCTCTTCGAGCAGAATATAGTTGCGCGCATGGTCGAACTTCGTCGCATGAACCAGCACCCATCCCTAAGCCCACCGTTTCCAGAGCATCTTCCTCTATTTATTCTCTTCCTCTCCCATTTTCCTCTTTACATCTTCCATTATTTCGCCGGTATCATCCGTAACGATTCATTAAAAAGAGGCTCGCTATTGGACTGGGGCTTTGCCCAGCTTCTGGTACAGTTTCGGCACGGCATAATAATAACTCGAATAGCTCCAGAACGGAATTCGTAGCTCAAAATGCAGAATTCGGATATTACTTTTTCATCCAATGGGCTGTAGTTTGTCACTACAGAGAGCACCAACTGCATCAACTCCTTTTCGGGTGAGTCCGAGACTGAAAAATGTACCAATAACTGGAAATGTGTCAGCTGCCACTGAACAAAAACTACTGTGCAGGTTCGACAAGTGAAGCATGAACGAACCTTTCTGGAAAATATCTCTGGGGAGACTGCAATAACTAGTACTAGCAGTAGCACTTTCTGGGAACATGGAATTAATCTGAGCAAATGAAATACGCCTTTGACTTGCCTCAAGACTTGCATGAGTCTTGAGAGTACCTCGGAATGAATAAGTGCAAAAAGTACCTAAGAATGTTTGAAAGCGAGTATTCCACAAACGCCCCAGGAAGGAAAGCACATCCCCTTTACTTCTTCCAGGTCTTGGAATTTTTCCAAACCATACCATTTTCACATTTTAAGCTTATCATATCTGGATTATTCATCTTCTAGGGCTGCCCCTCGTCAAAGAAATAGGCGTCTACGATTTTCTCGCAGCATGTTTTCATTTCGCAAGTATTTGCTCCACCAAAATTGGATGTCAGACATGCTCCGTGTGACAGGATTCCGTTAACCTCCTCAGACCTGGTACGCATGCCATAATCTATTGCTTTTATTTTTTTTTTTGTTTTGGGCCTGGGGAGGTTCATACAGGTTTAAGACATGTTTTTCTCGAAGTTGAAATCATTTTGCCAGGATACCAGGACATTCGCTCACGGAAGAAAAAACCATTGAGAGGCTCCGAAGATGAACAGCTGGAAATCGATCGCTGCAGCAACAAGTCTCCCGGGTCAGACAGGGCTGGTCTTTTCCTTTCCCTTTTGCATTTCATTCGTGTCGCGTGTCCACGTTAATGGCTCCTTCAATATCCAGGTCGCGCAACCAAACATCATCGGAAGAATGACGGGGATTGCCACGAAGGAGAGAAAGGCACCATGAGGCATCTCTGTCGTGCACACACGCGAGTGCGTTTCGCACTCGGTGACTTCACTTTCTTACAGACTCGTGCATCGCGCGCACTCTATTTCTCTTAGGAAGTCTTTCTGGTTTAAGCTTCTTCTGTCTGAGGTAGGGAAAGATGTCGGAGGGCTTGGCAGATTCATTCCCCGTGCACTCACATCTGGAGAGGCAAATGAGTACTCTTTTCTTAAACGAAAATAGAGGGCACGTTCAGGGATCGAATGTTGACGTTCTTGAATGAGGCAGTAGTATTCTCCATGCGAAGGCCCCCCTCTAGCGATGGTCCGCAGCAGATGCATCTCGTTTCTTCTTAATGGACTTCCTTGTTCACCATAGCAAGAAAAGCTGCAAGAGCGTGACTGCGCAGACGACCTTGGCTTTCAGGAAATGCCAATTATCTTGTCTCTTGGGGTTCCTATTTTCGTTAGAAATAGCGCTGATTCCTTCGAGGTTTTTGTAAGATAAGTCGTATGTGACTTTTTTTGTTATGGTTTGATTAATTGGTTTTGGTCCCAGACAAGGAAGGGGAGCAGCGTGAAATTTAGAAAGTGGCTGGCCCTGAAAACAGCAAAATATTCATAATTGCATGTGGTTCAATGGACACCGGAAACTTCAAGACATTCCGAGTCTTCTTCTTGAAGGCGTTTGCGTGTTGATAGACGCGCCAATTCATGTCATAGACACGCTCTTTAGATCAATAAGGACTGTGTCCTATCTGATCCACGATTGCGACAGTGGACCCAGATCAGCACGACACCGAGGTGACATCCTCGAGTCAGGTTCGGGATGTCAGTCGCATGGGGAACTTTACTGGTTCTTACTCATGATTGCACGCACGTTGCGAGCAGTACATGAGGTCTGAGGGAAACGCGAGGAATCCGTGTAAGAATCGCTCCTCGAGGATGTCAGCGTCGGCTCTTCTGTCTCTATATGGCACCTCTCCCACAGTTATGAATTAGTCCGCAGGTGATTCATGTCTTCGATTTATTCTTACGCCACGAAGGCTTGTTTTCATATTTTCAAATTCGTGATTCCACGCAATGCTTTACTCTTTTCTTATGCATAGGCTTTGGCTTCTATTGATCTTTGGAAGCTGCGGTGTTCAACGCTCTCTCGACTGCGAATTGTGAATCGTGCTAGTTCATGCCGGTGCGATTTCTCCAGTTTTTCCTTTGCTTGCGCACCTCCCAGACGTCACTCTCTTCTCCCTTGAGACAAACTATAGTGGTCATCGACTGGGATGAAATAAGAAGAGTGCAAGAAACGAGTCTTGCAAGAGCAGCAGCACCTTTAGCCACGTCCTCGCCTCAACTTCTTGGTTCGCCTTTAGTCGCTTCGTGAGTTCAAGTTACTAATATATCACCTAACTTCTGCTCCAGAATACGTCGGATCTGGCTTGAACGCGGTAACTCGCTTCCGGCTGTGGAGGCCCCTTCCAATGTATTGATTTTTTAAGGATCCAGGAGCTCCAGGCTGCATATAGAGCTCCTTTCATATCATGCAGTAGGCTTCCAAGCATGTTACTGACCTGCGAACAATAATCTTTGCGGCTGTATCGCAATTGGAGGGGCCACATCTTATCCAAAGGATTCAACAAGAAATCTCACGGAACTGCAAGTTTCCATCAGCGATTAGTCCCATTCTTGATACGCTACGCCTACTTTTCCTATAAAATTCTCCTAACCACAATCAACTACATGCGAAACTGCAGCGTCTGCCATGTCAGCTGACAGTCAATTCCATTCCCCAATTCTCCAACGAGGAAGAACCCCCAGGCGTATCTAATGCGTATTCCGTGAGGAACAATGTAAGAGAATATTAATAAAGATCCAACATTCGGTTTGAGGACCGGAAGCTCATGGGAGAGACGTCAAATCAATAATCATAAAAGCCACGAAACAGAAACAAGTGGAAGAAATAGATGTCTTCATGTAAAATGATCCAGTCCTTACGAGCTGCCAGGGCGCCATGACCCCAAAACGAGGAACAATTTCTTCGTGATATTCTAAGGAAAGTACCTGGGCTTGAATTTATCCAAGAAAAACAGCATAATCCTTTGATGGTAATACAATATGAGGCCTGGCGAGGAACGTGAGGAACGCAGTCAATAAGGAGAGCCAATAAAGAGACGCCTTCTGAATTCCTATTTCCCCGGAATTCTTCCTCGGGCACGAGAGGATGAAAACTGACGCTGACGTCAGATAGACCCCTTCACCCCCGCGTCGGAGACCCACGTCTGTCTTGTGTGGCCTCTTCAGAGGAATATTTCATGGAGAGAACGCTTAATTAATTGCTTCCGAAGGGCAACACAAAAGGAGACTATAGAGTCAAGAAGTTGTCTGAGACGCTTATGGGTTCGGGGAATGGGAGAGAAATGAGCATGCACATACGAGACTTTGTGGATTACCAAGCCATGGGAACGAAATCCGTCGAATAATACGGCTTTGGATCAAAGATCTTAAGATCCGTTGTCTCATTGTCGGAGATAGTCGACTTCTGTTCCATCTCTCTATGCATTCCTCGTTCCCGGAGAGAACCCCCATTCCTCTTTCTCTCCATCAAGCTTTCTGTAGGGGGTGTGGTATCTGCATGGGTTCTCTTCCAGGAAAAGCGAAGAGTTTCACTGACGTCACTGCGCTCTGTGTGACGCCAGCAAAACGACTCTATTCTACCACGGTGATATTATTATCCCCGAGAGAGATGATGCACTCTCGCACTTGTGAATTAGAAAACTTGCTCGCCCGTGAGAGTCCACGGACTGAAAACGAAATCCCAGCATTCGCGTCCACTCATGGGTGACGCAAGTGCAGGAATTGACGCAGGAGAGCGGAGGAAACTCTCATCCAGGCGAACGAGGGAAGGCAGGAGGAAACGACTGT